TTTTCGATCATTTTGACTTCTTCAAACATCTAAGAAATAAAGATGATAAAATTCTGAGAGAAAAACATATTTTTAAAATAAACTTACGAAATGTGTATATGAATAACCAGGAAATTTCTCTAGTATTTCATTAATTGTGTGTGAACGAATGAATGACCGACGATAACCAAACGTTTTCTTCCATAATGTAATTAATTCGTCGTTATGTATTGTTTCATTTTCAATACCTTCGTTCATTGTTATGATTAATTGTTCAACATCACTTTCATCCATAATAGTACTAACATAAATCTAAAACAATGAAGAACATTATTTTGTATGCTAATTTTAGAATTAAATTTCAACTGACCATTTTATCAGATTTCCGTTCAGCAGATAGTGCTTCACTTTTTTTTGCAAAGCGTCCAGAACCTTTTCCAAATTTTTCTTTTTTTTCTGGACTACTGCAGATGTGTTTTGTAAAAGTCGACGTTCATTTTTGAACTTTTGTTTTACTGCTTCTCGCCATTCATTCTATGAATAATTTGTTCGAGAAAATTATAAGAACAAATATTTTCTTACAGCTGCATTTGCATCTGTTGTTGAAATATTCAATGCTTTGAGCAAAGCTTGTGTAATTAAAAAATAATCATTTGCTTTAGGATATCTATCGTGGAAAAAAAACAAAATTTGATTTTGAATCTACAGAATTCATTTCTATTATTTTATACAATAAATTATATGTGGTAGCAACAGCTTTAAACACAAAGTTGAGCAGTATTCGCCTATGATTTGTATGTCCACGGAGTTTCATTAACTCATTCTCATCAATAATCACTTGTATTTCTTCTGGTAGTGATGAAAATGCAAAATCAGTTGGTAAATTCTGTTGAGGTTCTTCTAAATCATCAGTTTCATCATGATTAACCTCATCATCGATATTTGATGCTGCATCAAATTCGTCTCCATTCATATTGTTACTAGATAATGATGGATTATTTAGTAAATTTTGTGTTAAAGTTGTTGATTGTGATGCCGTGCATGTATCAAATGTTTGTTTGCTAGATTGATTCAAAATATCTCCATCACCTAATTGTTCATTTGCAATGTTATCACATTGTTTGATTAATAAATCAAGTTTTTTAGTGAATAATATTCGATCTTTTAATTTTGGAAATAATGTACGTACTTCATCGTATGACAATCTTGCTAACGTAGCTCCATCGATTTCCTCTTCTAAATAAAAATTGAAGAAATGTATCAGTAAAACTATATGAAAAGGCATATGGATAAGATATGATGAAAGCTCTGGTTGGTTGTAAACAAAAGAAAAACGTGAAATAGATATGAAACGGAAAGAAAAGGAGATATCCATTAAATAACATCAAACAGTCAAACGAGATAAAACATTAACATAAGCAGAACCTTGAACATAATAAATATCTAGTCCATGAGGTAAAATGTGTAGAAGTTGATCCAAGTCTAATAAATCTAATGTTTTACAAAATTCGATCTCATACGCCCAAAGTGTTTCATTGAATCCTATCACTTATAAATGTTCAACAACTGCTTTCCAAATACTTTGTATTTTCAAGAAATACAGGATAGAAACAAAACATGGTTCTTCTTCTACATCAACTAATCTTTCAACAAATACTGATTGTCTCATCATCATAACATTTTTGTAATAAATTGTTTTACATTCATCAAATATGTTTTGATTAATATCATTTTCTGGTAATAAACGTTGAACAGGTATTGGTAATGAAGAATACTGGATGGTTTTTAACAATGTTATCTCAGTACATATATTATAATAATTCTTATTAGATAACATTAGACATTGTCGAAGTTGATGTCTTTTGGCAAGAGTAAATGCTGGATTTTTGAAATTTAACGATCTAATAGCCAATCTTTTGAAATACAAGTGTTTACCTTCAAACCGCATACACCAAAAACGAGTTGCTGATTCATTTGCGTTGATTGTTCTCAGATATTCACTGACAAAATGGATTTTCGGTATAACCAGATTGGACAAATGATAAGCCATTAACGACTGAAAACGTATTGTTAACGATTGAAAGTACATCAACCAAGATTTTCTGAATTTTATTGAGTACGTATAACTAATTATTTCACGTAGGCAAGTATAAATATCTAACGTATTTGTTAGTTGATCAATGACATCGTGAAATATGAATGGCATCAATTTAAATAAGCATAGTTTCTGACTTGCTGAACCAATTATATTATTTTTTGTAAGATGTGTTGCACGAATTGTAGGCGGTTTATTAACCTGATCATTCATTCCGTAACTAAATGATGTGAATACAGAAAATAACTTAGAGCAATTAGATAAAAACAACATTCTTATTTATACCCTCCGCATAATCATGCATCAAATCATTTGGCAAAGATTTGATTGCATGAAAAGCAATCAATTTGGACAAAGGACTTTCGCCTACAACACCAGCAACAGGTCTTGTATTAAACAAGTTTACAGCTTGTCGAACATATGCATCATGTGTAGTTACTGTGCGTGGCAGAAATGAAATCTCTGTTAATGGAATCAATCTGAATTTGTAAGAAATGTGACATAATCGACAAAATTGTCCCGAATTAAAACTTTGTTGAAATCCGCCAATTTCGTTTGATGCAAGATTGTCAGCTGCGAATAAGCTAAATGCAAAATGTAATTGTCCATTGAATGTTTGAACAACTAAACCAGTTGTTTGTAAATGATTCAAATCTTTTATAATAGGTTCAAAAAATTTCATACGATTTGTTTGTATCGATAAGAATTTTGTCGGATATATTCCAACTAGACCAATCGATTGCAACATAGATTTTACAAAATCTGGTAAATCTTCTAAAAGGAAATAATATAAAGTAAGTTTATGTTTGTCCTTCTTTGGACCTAGAGGATTTGTTATTCCAATCCCGTCTGAACAGAGTTGAATTAAAAATGAATTAGGATGAAGTTTTAATGAAGGATTATCTTCTGCTGCAGTACCGTCTCGGTACGTTAACATCAAATCAGGATCATTCT